TAATTCATAGTAAGGATTCTAATTGTTTTAAGGTTGAAATAATTAAAGGGAAAGAGATTGCCATGTCAACTGTAAGACAGAGATGGAAGTTTATTTAAAGAACATAATTTCAATCTAGTCCTTATAGGACTAAAGCCAAATTAAAATTCAGAATACTCCCAGCTTTCATTTCTGGAGACTATTTCAATCTTTAATTGAAATAATCTTTCACCTACTTCCTAGACCTGCAAGGAAGCACAGCATTTAAAAACGTGGAAATTATTTTTCAATAGGCAATACACAAACGTGATTTTTGCTTTTTAAATTTAATGGCTAATATTAAATTTTTGCAACTATTTTAGCTTTTAAAATTATAATTTAAGGACGCCTGTATGGCTCAGTCGGTTAAGCATCTGCCTTCTGCTCAGGTCATGATCCCAGGGTCCTGGCATTGAGTCCCACATTGGGCTCCTTGCTCAGTGGTGAGCCTGCTTCTCCCTCTGCCTGCCGCTCCCCCTGCTTGTGCGCTTTCTCTCTTGCTCTCTCTCTCTGACAAATAAATAATCTTTAAAAAGATAAAATTATAATTCAAATACTGTATGCACATGACTAGAAAATTATATGCTGAGAATAAAAAGGACTTAGAATAAAAAGGAAGTCTCCTTCTCCAGAGGTAACCACATTTAAGTTTAATGTTAGGGCTTCAGGTGGTTAAATCTATATCTCTAAAAATATGCTTATTTTTCCACTTTTTAGGGGGGTATCAATTTTGGACATTGTTTACTGACTTTCTGCTCAGCAAAATGCAGACTTAAGTCACTTAGCCAAAGGCACTTCCTTGTCTCCTCATAATACAGCTCAACCCTTACCGACTTTGTAATTTCACACCTCAGATTTAAGTCTTTATTATTTTTTTCATCAACTACAGGAAAGCTCTAACACTCTATTTTTAAATATGATGTCAGTTACACCTCCATCTTTCTTTCATCTCTTCTCCTAATTTTTAATTCTTTCATAGTGTGGATTTTACCTATTCTTCTATGTTATCATGGTTGGAAACATTTTGTTGTTTCTATAATCACAGAGTAGATTAAATATCTGTTAAGTATTCTGTAATTAGTTTACGGGCTGCTTCCCCAAGTTAAACATAAATGTTTTCATGATTATCACAATGCTCATGGTGTTCTTCAGGAGCTAAGTGCTGGACTCTGATGTATTCCTTTTCTCTGAGTCCAACTTCATATCATCTGTGCCATTCAAAAGGGAAAATTTCTAGAGTTAAGTTCAAATGAATTTTCCTCTTATGTTTGTACTTCAATAATTGACTTTACCATACCCAGTGTTTCTTAGAGAGGATCTCATATAGTATTTCCATAGATCAATGTCTCTTATTTCTGAGACCTCCCTCCTGCACATGTCTGTCCATTGTGGACTAATTGCTCTCAAGGTCTACTGTGCAGTTGTCATTCTGGGACAAGAAGTTACTGTTTTCCTGATTTCATGTCTTCCCCTGTCTTGGTTTATTGTTTATTTTGCTACAATATATGCTCAGGTAACTTCTTAAGAAAAAGTACATTGTAGGTAAACTTTGGAAAGTTTACATGTGAGACAATATTCCTAGTATAGCTTCCTCTAATTTTCCCCCCTAAATATAAAGGCACTGATTATTGTCTTCCAGAATCCAGTATTTATAAGCCCAATGCCAGTCTAATTCTTACCTGTTTGCATGTGACCAACTCACATTCTTTGTCTGAAAAGTTCCATGTTCTTCCCTTTATTATTAATCTTCTAAAACTTCACAGTAATTTTCTAAGACTAAATCTTTTTTCATTCATTATAGCACGCCCTTTTAGTATGAACACAGGTTTCCCCCATTATATGAGAGTAGAGCATTCTTATGAAAACTTTCAGAAGCCAAAATGGTGCAAATTAAAGAAGCAGTAGCCATTACTTTCTATGGAAAATTTCTTGAGCATTTCCAGACCCAAAAAATAACCTCTTTCAGGCTTTTCTGATACCTTAGGACACATCTTGCTAACAAATACACAAAATAAATCCAGATAAAGCACCGGTGCTCACAGTCACAGTTCAAAGCTACAGCAGCTTGACGCTGAGATTCTGAGTATGGTTCCCAGGAAAGGAGCTTGGTGGCACCACTCTCGCTTTTGAAGGGCAGAGGATACCTGTATTTAGGTTTTGTAACTGGGGGAAAAAATCCTGGAGAATTTCTTTGATAATTTACTCTTTTCCTCTCCTTTCACCGTTGATCCTACATGCATCTACATTTTTTCTATATTCATGTCTATCTTTTTGTTTTAATTTTTAGGATAGCTCCTTATCTTCCAACCCATTTTTTTAAAATGTAATCATATTTTTAACTTCTAGTAGCTCTTTTGTGTTTTCCTTTTACAGTGAACGGTCTACAATCTACAAAACTTTCTAAAGATCTTAGTATCTTAGTATCTCTTCTGCTCTGTATTCTCTCTCTTCTTATGGGGTCTGTTTTCTCTGCACTTTTACTTTAGTCATTCTCATTGTAAGCTTTTTGAAAACACATGCTAATCCTTGGTTATCCATTCATTTTTAAAGATCTGAACAATAAATCTGCCTGGAAACTATGTATTTAGGTAGGGCTTGCCACTTTATTCCCTAATGAGTAAGGCAGGAGGCTACCAATGTCAGAATGCAGGAGCCTTTGTTCTGGAGCTCCAAAGCCGACATTAGTTGCCCTGATCCTTTTCAAGTATTTAACACAGATTTGTAGATTTTTTTTAAAGCTGCCTCCTGGGGTCCTGGATCTAGGGATGAAGACAGGATTGACTGCTTTTCAGGCATGCTTTCAATGCCCTATATCGCTCCCAGGACCCTTACAGTAACTATGTTTGTGAGTCCCTTCTCTTCTTCAAAGCAGCTCCCTCCTTAGCAATTGCCTCTTCTGCTTAGACACACTGATGCATCTTATCTTATTCTACATCTTTAATTACCACTCTACTACCTTCTGCCTTCTAGAAATTATTTAAACTTTCTTCTCTACTGATGACTCTCATGCCACTCTCTTTGCTTTAGGCTTTTCCACCCATGTTTTACTCCTTTACTATCATTTTAATTAGATCTTAGGAAAAAAGGAGATAAACACATGTATTATTAGTCCATCATATTAAGCCATAGTTACTTTTTCCTATTTTACCTTATTTTGCTATTTGTATTTTAACAAAAGAATTTATTATTCATGCCTAAGGGGGGAAAACATGTTTTGTGGTGTTTTTTCAGGGGATGGGATATCTTCCTATTTATTTCAATTCTCTTGAAATTTTCATGCATTTATAATCTATGAACTTAGAAATATTTATGTAGGACATCATTAAGGATCATATTACTTTCACTTATTGTGCAAAGAATATACTCAATGAGATTCATTCAGAATGTATTTGCTTTTGCCTAGTTCAAATTGATAGTACTTGCCCATGTGTTGTCCATATGTTTATACCAAGTTGAGTTGATATATTCTAAATTGGTTTAGCCCAGTGTTTTGCTATTCAATACAGGTAATGCCATAAAGTCTTTTTAATTATTTGCCTAGTTTATCAGGCATGAGGACATTATAAAGTAATTCATTTATATAAAATATATTAAAATGCCATCATATCTAATTTCTTTCACGAAGGGAGAAAAATGTATTCCATTCAGGTTTCATGAAGTGCTAGAGATTACTAAATTTGTAGTTATCACTGAAATAATAGTATGAAATATAATGTTATCATCCATCATCTTCCTAACTGAACAGCTAGTATTTTACCAGTTACAAATTATTCTTATGAGGAACACATATCAAGAAAAAGGAGTCAAAATAAGCTACAAACTACAGTTAGTAATGTCCTTGATTTGCTTTGGGGATCTGTTCTTTATCTTCCAAATACACGGGAACAGGAACTAACTAGAAATTTATAAACTCTAAGGATAGGCAGAAAATGGAAGAAACACTGAACAAACAGAACAAAAAAAAATTAAGCAAAGGAAAAAAAAAAGAACATAAGGGGGAAAGAAGAGGGCATAAATGGATGGGAAAGGTATTCCTTTGTAGAGACTAAAGGCCAACATTTATAGGTACTCATATTGCCTTTTACAATATGTATAAGTCACTTTTAATTTTTGCAGTTTAAAATCTTAGAAAATGCCTGGGTTTCTGTTTGGCTTAGGTTTTGGCATTTATGAAGTCTGAGCTTTTCCTAAAATCTTGCAGCTATGGTGATAAGAATGTTACAATTTTTCAAGAAAGTCATTAATTTTTCATCATGTACTGCATTGACTGATACTCTACATCTTTCACTGCTTGTGTCTACAGGGTCTTGAGGGCTTGAGTTTTTTGGAATTTTTTTGTTTGCACCTTCAACGGCTACCGTATCAGGCCCTGCTATCTGTGTAAGGCATTTACCCTTCAAAACTCTACCTCTTTCAGGTAGACTGTGATTGAATTTTTATTGCTGTCTTCTATAAAGGTATCTTTCACAGGAGCTGTTCATTCACCCATACTTAAAATCAGCTTATAGAGTTCTTTCTGGCTTAATATAAGTTGTCCGAGATCTCAAGCCATAAGGGAGGGGGAAAGGTAGGAGAGCTGGTGATCAGGTAAACAGGCCTATGGTCAATTTGTTTAATTTCTCTGACTTCTTTACGTAAATGAAGCAGCTGCTAAATTGGTATAATGATAATGACTTCCCTCACACTTTCTTTCCAGACTGTACAAATCATTTCCTATTTTAAAACTCCCACTCTTTAGATTTAGAGCATTGAAAAAGCAGCTACTCATGGTTCAAATTATAGTTAAATGCACAGCACCCAATATGAATGATCATTCATTCAGAATATGTGATATTAATCTCATGGATTTGCTTTATTTCAGGATCCCTTTCTTTGCTCTTGAGTATGGTATGAATATGGTATTAGTTTGACTTTGGTATAAGTCTGTGTGTTGCAATCATTGGTCATGTTCACCCAACATGTTTATGTTTCTCTAATTTCAGCATGTGGCAAATTGATGAAAATCACAGGCCCAATTACAGTCAAGACATCTGGAACCCGATTTGGCGCTTGGATGACAGACCCTTTAGCATCTGAAAAAAATAATAGAGTATGTTGCTTCCACAAACACCTTTGCTTAGAATCATGTTTTATTTGCACTTTATGTCTATTGAATTATTAATTTTCTTTAGGAATATTAGTTTCAACTTTAAAAGTATTACGTTGTTTGCAAGTATTCTCAACTTGATAATATTTACATAGCCAAAGCAACCTTATTTTAGTAAAAAATTCCATCTTATAATTTACCAGTAAAGCAAGTCCCATTTTTATTAGTTTTAGTCTTGTTTTATGCCAATAAAGAGCTAATTACAAGTATACAAAATTCTCTATATACTCCTTCTAAAACCTGCTCCTTAGTGTGAGGAAAAAAAATAAAAAACACTAAGTGAAAAACTCAAGAGCAACCAATTCATTAACAAGTTGAAATATCCCTGGAATCTAGAGGTAATTTTAAAGTAAATAGTACCGAAACTTTTGGAGTGTATTTTCATAAGTTGGCAATGCCTGTATTATGTAAATCAATATACTGGAAACTTGACATAGAGCTATTTATGATCTATTACAAAACCCAGTTTACATTAAGATTCTCAAGGGTTACATGCAAATGAGACTAGTGGCAAATTAATAAAATGGTTACACTAAAAAGCAGCTGCACCTATAAGCTGATCCAATGAACAAGCGTTACTATAAGTTTCTATGGTACCCATAAAGGAGAAATAAATGAATAAAATTAGATGATATATTTTTCAGAGCAAAAGAATACATTTGCTGAAGGTGATTTTTTTTGCAGTTATCACTGATTGCACTGATCTATCAACTGAACAAAGTGATGTGATTTGCATTGATACATGTTTAGTTCACTCGATGATATGCACTGAATGGTCAAAGAAATAAATAAATCATAAAAAGAACAGAAAGCACATCAACTTCAAGGCAGTAAATTGAGTTTTTGCTTTCCATACAGAAAATGCCACTATTTTTGCCTGCAGTGCTATCACATTGCGGGAGGTCAACAGTAAAATAATGTGGCTTCCAGATCCTCAGAACGGTGATATTAAAATGTGCTGACTCTCACTGTCTTTACTTTGGAATTCTCAGAAAAGTACAGAATTTAGTCACTCCTATTTTTTTTCCCTTTTCCTCAGGTCTGGTACATGGACAGTTATACTAACAATAAAATTGTTCGTGAGTACAAATCAATCGCAGACTTTGTCAGTGGGGCTGAATCAAGGACATACAACCTCCCTTTCAAATGGGCAGGAACCAACCATGTTGTCTACAATGGCTCACTCTATTTTAACAAATATCAGAGTAACATCATCATCAAATACAGCTTTGATATGGGGAGAGTGCTTGCCCAACGAAGCCTCGAGTATGCTGGTTTTCACAACGTTTACCCCTATACATGGGGTGGATTCTCTGACATTGACCTAATGGCTGATGAGATTGGGCTGTGGGCTGTGTATGCAACTAACCAAAATGCTGGCAATATTGTCATCAGCCAACTTAACCAAGATACCCTGGAGGTGATGAAGAGCTGGAGCACTGGCTATCCCAAGAGAAGTGCAGGGGAATCTTTCATGATTTGTGGGACACTGTATGTCACCAATTCCCACTTAACGGGAGCCAAGGTGTATTATTCATATTCCACCAAAACCTCCACATATGAGTACACGGACATTCCCTTTCATAACCAATACTTTCACATATCCATGCTTGACTACAACGCAAGAGATAGAGCTCTTTATGCCTGGAACAATGGTCACCAGGTTCTATTCAATGTCACCCTTTTCCACATTATTAAGACAGAGGATGACACATAAGCAAATGTAATTTGTTTTCATTGATCATAACCGCGTCATTTGTGATAAACTCTATAGAACCCCTTCTGTTTTCCCTTTATTATAACTTTTCATCATTTCTCCAAAGCGTTTTTTATTATAAAGTTGGTTTGTCAAAAATCAGCCAAACCTGTCTAAATTAACATGTTGGAAACACATCTTAACTCCTAAATTAGCAGGGCCTACCATGTCCTTGTCATGAAAAGCACTAAAAAGAGCTTAAGTGGCTAAAGTTATAGTTTTGCAAAAGATTAATGATCTGCCTTATATTAGAGTCAGAGACTAATGATGGCTTAAATGCATGAATGTCTTTTTTTTTTTAATTCTGTCATTTTTTACTGTCTTTTGCTCTACATCAGGAAATATTTTGGTAGGAATTAGAAAAAAAAGCACTTTCCTCCCATTTATTTCTAAAAAAAGATTTAAGGATTTTATTTATATGGAAAAATATATTACTCATTTTGCTGTTATAGAATTCTCTGATGCGGTGCTGTACAGTCATTTTTAAATCTCTTGCTAACATTTTATTGGCAATATGTATTTCTACCATTGTAACCACCATTGTGCAATTGTATCTCTTCACTTCTGTGAAAGTAAGTAATATTTTTTATAAAATATACTGAAGTTTAATCTCAGTAATTATTATGGGACAATTTTCAAGTATGGTCAAGAAAGAAATATCTTCTTGGCTTCCCCTTTACTTAAATTTATAAGCTAGAAGGAAAAATCAAACTAAATCCCTTACACAGAATATTTTTTGTACCCCAAGTTTACTGGACCACTAACACTGAATGCTAAAACTGATTCACTACGGATGAGTTGCTCTGTTCACGTCACTGAAAGCAACCCGTATTGTTGCTTGCAAAGATGCAACGGAGTCAGAAAATTTTGGATTTGAGTTGACTTTACTCATTTATCATACAACCAACCAAATTTTGTTCTTCATAAATAAATATATTAGTGTTTTAACTTAAATTTTACACACAACTTGCAATAATGTAATTACTTGTGTCAGGACTCTGAAGGTACATGAAGCACACATAGAAACTCTTAAAAAAATTTCTGTGAGGTCATCTAGATTTACATTATGAGCTCTGTGGCAATATTTGTGCAAAAGAAAATGATGGGAAGACTTGGGAGTTGTCTGTGCAGTTTGAATGTGCAAAAGCCAATTCAGAAAACAAGATGAGAAGGCAACCCTTGTTACCCTGATTCATAATGTGCACAGAAATAATGTAACCAAAAAAGAAAGCTTTAAGAATATTTTCTTTCAATAACTCCAAAAACACATAATCAATATTTATCAAACATGTCGGTGAGTTTGGATGTCCTTTCCATATGTTAAGAATACTTACCTAAGGCAGTTTTACAGAAACTAGTGTGGGTTGGTTTTACAATTTAAAAAGTAGATTCTATAACAAATAATGTATAACTTAAATTGTGGTAAATGTTTAGTTTCACACATACATAATAACAATTTCCTTTGTAAAGTAAGGATATAATAATTCAGATAAAGCATTGTGTAAAGAAATGCTAACACTTAAGAGTAATTCATTTCAAATGTCACAAAACATAATTCTCAAATATCTCACTGTCAAAGTCATAGAATTAAATAACTCAATCTTGAGATTGTTAAACAAAGACTTCTTTTCTTTTTTGCCTACAAAAAGTTAGCATGACTTAGTGACCACTCTGGGTCCTTTTGCAATGTTGTCTTCTCTTCTAAAATGTTTATATAAGTTCTCCTCTGTTTTTGAGAGTTAGAAAACTTAGGGGATTCACTTGTCATTGTACACACACCACAAAAATAATCAGCCAATACTTTGTATATCAAGAGTTTGTATGAAGAAAGAAAGTTAATTTCAAAAATGAATGAATTTTTAAGTAGATGGCCTCTGATGGATAACTGGGTCTTCATTACTTGTTTTTTAAAAAAAATTATGTAATATAGTAACACATACATTCAAAACCTGGATGATCACAGCTTTTTTGTGAGATGTGCAGCTTGTAAAGCACTTTATTGTTTTCTATGTAAGGTATCATCACCATTTCCAATTTCTAGTGTATGTGCTGCTAGGGCAAGCACAGATTTTATTATTGTCATAGAAGTGGGGGTAACATGAGTTTAAAAATGTGATTTGCATTAAACATTTACAGTTTAAAAGCATTTTTCTTAATAAATTATTATCAGTTTTGTGCCTGAAATAATAACTTACTCTAATCACTGGGTTTTTTTTAAATCTCAGATAAATTTTGTGAGGGAAATAATTTACTACTTTAAAATCATTTACATAATCCTATCAGTAAAGAAATCCAAGCTTAATCCTAAATGAACTGTGCAACTGGTATTTTCTGAATTAACCAGATCATTAACAAACTTCCATGTCATTCAAATAATAACATGATCATGGTCTGATTGTGTTTGTGTGACATTTGTATTTGTGGCACTTGAATCACAATACTTATTATCTACACTTACAGCTATTAGTTCACAAAATGATAGTGTTTCAGTACATTACTAATATGTAGGGTAAAAGAGAAAATAACGATATGCCTAAATGTAACATTACAAGTAATTAGATAAGATTTATCACAAGTTCAGAATTTCTGGTTTTTATCACCATACTCAGAGTCATTTCATCCTTTGTAATCCATAGTACTCCTTCTAATGAAATCTTGTCTTGAGAAACAATTTATTCCTAATAAGAAAATGGTCTTTCAAATCACTACCAAACTTACAAGTATAAACTTTTCACACAGAAGAATTATTTTTTAAATGTAACTATATAAAATTGTTCTTATGTTCTCCTAAAAATAAAAGTTATTTTCCTACGTAGGCAACTTTTACATGTAATAATCCTTTAGCTTTATTCTCCTTAAAGAGTAGATTAAAAAAAAGAAGAAAAAAAGAAAACCCTACTGGTCTCCTTAGCACTCAGGATTACCAAATCATTTCTCCAAATGCTAAATTTGAATGCAACTGATAGCAAAATTAAAACTATTCCTTCAAATTAGAGCAAATATGAAAAAATAGACATTGCAGAGTTTCTAAAAGCTGAATTCTGTCTTCTTTTGAAGACAGAATTTAAAAATGGCATCTTGCTGACTTGACCAGGAAGGTACCATTATATCCTTTATGAACACCTTGAATTCCTATGGCATTATAAAAGAATGGGCATTTACAGACAAATCTTAACTTAACCTTCTCCATCATCACATGATAAGTGGATCACAAGAAGAACTCCTATAAAGTGGTCTACCTAGCACTATAGGCAGGGAGCATTAAATTAAAATTTAGCTGTTACAGGATGACACAAAACCTTCATCTCTGACTGCTCATAGCGAGAAACACTGATTTCTAGAAAGTCTCAGAGGCACTAAATATCACTCAGTTCAGTAGGCTATATCCATACTGAAATCAAGCTCATGGAATGGTTTCTGGTTCTAAAATTAAATAAGCTTAGCAAGCTAATAATTTTTCATAATCAGTGACTCTTCAGAGAAGGTCTGGGGCTTTGTAAAATATATTGTTTTGAATTTAACTTATACTAGAAAAAATACAATGAAAACAGCTTATGGAAGGAAAACCAACTTCAAAATCTTTTAGCTATTTTTCTATGAAATAATGAATTCAACTGATGACAATCTCTTTAATAGAAAACTGCTCTACCCTTTAACCAATCAGAAAGAAAGCCTCCCAAACTGACTTTATCAAGCTCATGTATCAGATTCACATCCTAAAATTATGTTATGCAATTTATCCCTTTTGGGTGACCTGTTCCGTTACGCTTAGAGCAATTTTAATCCTGTTTGGATTCTGCTTTGTCTCCAGAATGTCAAACTGGTTGGCAGAAAACTTATCCCCCTTGAAGCTCAGTTCATTGATTGCCAAATAAGTTTTACAAGTTTAAATTATTATTAAACATGTCCTGAAAATGATATAAGGACCTAGAACTGTACCTTGCCAAGAGTACTTAGTACCTTTCATAACTATAACCATCTTAAAACATTATTCCTAATTAGAGATGTGGAGCAATGTGGTAAATAAGGAGAACTTCTCAGGAATACTTAGTGCTACAAGAAATTTGCTGATACCACACACACAAATACAGTTCAGTACAAAGTTGCACCCCTACCAACAGTACAGTCTGCCTCTAAGAGCTCACACCATATTCTAAAATAAATAAATAAATAAATAAATAAATAAATAAATAACCAACCAACCAACCAAAATAATGCTATAATATATCATTGCCTACCACAATCAGACCTGGAAATATCATATTATCAGCAGACATTTCCAGAAAATAAATACTGTATGACAAAGGTCTTGAAAAGACCTCAAAAAAATGAGCAAAAAGAAGCATCAGCCATTTTAAATTTAAGCATGTTACTGAAATTTATCATACTGAACTTGGTAATACATATCCAGCTAAGCTCTTTGTCTATATTGTAATTCTTAACTTCATGAATTCATATATGTTACCAATATGTAGTTTCTGGGCTTTCCAGCTAGGTAATACTGCATTATTTATTCATTTATTTAAAAAATAATCCCTGACAAAAACCATGTATCTAGACAATTTCTAGATACTAAGGATACAGCTGTTAACAGATAAGATCTTCTTCGTGTGCTTACATTTTAGTAAGAACAGGCTGCAATGAAAATATTAATGAAAAACAAGTTCTAATTGTACTAATTGTTGTGAAGGAAATAAATACCTTAAGTCATAAAAAGTGAGTGGATGTTTGCTAGGGGCAGGATTGGGGTAGGAAGTGATGTATAAGAGAGAACAGTAAAGGGCGATTTCTCTTAGAAGCAGCCTGCCATGGTAAATTCAGTCAAAGAATGGAATGTCACAAGTCCAATCCACATACAAAACTGAACATCTTCCTTTACGTTCCTAGAAATCCATGGATCAAATATTTCTTAATATGTCTCTATTGCAGAAGTTATTTTTTTAACTTGGAGTTTGAGGATA